GAAAGAGCTTCATGTTAATATGGAGTTACCTAAAGTATATATTATTAAGTGCAAAGAAGTAAGTTGTGCACTGGCCGGTGTGGCTCAAGTTGTTGGAGTGCTGTCCTGTACACCAAAAATGGGTTCAATTTCCGGTCAGAGTACATACCCAGGTTGGGGGTTTGATCCCGTCAGGGCACATGCAGGAGGCAACCAATCCAAGTCTCTCTCTCTCTCTCTCTCTCTCTCTCTCTCAAATCAATTTTAGAAATTTTATAAATGTAAGTTGTCAATAGTGTATAGTAAGTTACTGTTTATGTAGGAAAGGGGTATAACTAGTGAATTATATATAGTGTGTGTCCCAAAAAAATGCATACATACTTTAACAACCGATAGCTCAGTTTTGAAAATGAAATGTATTTTAATAAACACTGCCTGTATAATTATTCAAAATGTGTATATACATTTTGGGATACTATATATACATATGTACACACACGCACATATACATATATATGTGTATATGCTTCTTTGCTTATATTTTCAAAAAAAGAATCAATGGAACCATAAAGCCAAAACCTAATAAAATTATTATTTATGGGGAAGGAAAGGAATGGGATGAAGGGGACAGAGATGGAAGTGAAACTTCTGTGAAGGTACTGTATAACACAGTTTTTACTCTAGACCTATTTAAATGTTTTTGCATAATTTAAAAATCAAAAAGGGAAACATCCATCCCTAAAATTCATGAACAACCTGAAGCAAATGAATCTAACCATAAAAAGTTGATAGCATAAAAATACAGAGGAAACAATTACTTAAAATGACTTTAAAACAATATTTGTCCATTCTTAATGGGATATATTATAAAGGTAACTGCAAAAAGATGTAAATCTCTATTCAGTAGTTTCATTGTTGATATTCATATTAGTATTGTTATTGACATTTAAAAATTCTATAAATATATTATAAGAAAAAGCAAATAATGTTAATGTTAAAAAACATTTTAAGCATATGTGAAAAGAGATATACAAGTCTAAAATCAAGGAGTTTGAGTAAAAACCTTATAATCTTACATTTGAAGTGGAAATACCAGTATAATTTCTTTTTCTCTTTAAAAAAATGTCCTGGTTTTGTCCACTGAAAATGTCTAGAAGCAATAACAACTTAACAGCCATGAACACACCTAGCAACACATTATACTTTTTAAATACTATTCCCAATTAAAAGGAGCCAGGGGTCCTTGGAAAAATAGTTTATGTTTGAGTCAAGAAATGTGCAATATGAGCTTGGGACATCTTGCTGTGCCAGAAAACTGAAAAGCACTATAGTAGTCAATTTGAAAGGACTCCTACTGGTCCTAAGTGGGATAATTTGACCACTAAAAAGAATAATGACTATATTTAATTGAAACACATCAAATGTAATAAAAGTACACGATCTCACAATTATACTAAAAATAATCATTGGTCACCACTGGACATTTGTAAGGTACCAACTCATTACTCTCATAGTGGTAAATAATGGGGAAAATAATGCATTTATCCTGCCTTTCCTATATAAACTGTATATAGGGAAACTAGTTGATGACGGTAAGTTTATTATCGAATTCTAAATAATAAACACAAAAAATAGTGGAATTAGGGGGGCTCCATTTCACAACTCTTAATAAATTAATAGATCTAGATAGCAGTCATCACTGGATGTAAAACCCATTAGGTGAAAGATGAACGAGAAAATTTCATAATGGAGAGATCCGACTAATACCACCTGAACACACTGATCAGTTTTAGCATCACTAAAAATGGGACCACCAAACATTATGTGCCTTTTGATGTAATAGGAAATATACAACCATCTGTGGAAGATTCTTGCCTAAAAATATGAAACCTGAATCTAATCAAACCTCTAGATCAGCACTGCCCAATGTAACTTGTATAATAATGTAAACGGTCTCTATCTTTTTTTGCCCAATATAGTATCCGCTAGCCACAAGTGGCTGTTGAGCATTCGAAATGTGACTAGTTTAACTAAGGAACTGACGTTTAAAAGATTAATTTGACTAGGTTTGTGTGGCCAGTGGATACTGTATTAGATAGAATAGCTCTATATTTAGCTGCCAGTTTGTAAGAAATGGAGGGGATTAAGGAACAAATTAAACAATACCATGAAAAACAATCAAATTCATTTGTTCTGTGAACAAATATGGTTCTTCTAATAAATCAATGGGATGGGGTAAAAAATGGGTTGGAGGGGTGGGAAGGAAGGGGTACTATTTTAAAATAAAAGAGACTTAAGAGATGTAACAGCCAAAAGCTGGTTTAAACAATCAAGTGTAAAAATATATCTTTGTGATAATCAGGACCATTTCAATATGAACTTGGTATTAGATTATATTAAGGAATTATTAATTTTGTAAAGTGTGATAATGCCATACTGGTTACATTTTTAAATGTCTTTATCAGTTAAGTGCATGTACTTGCATGACCCTGGGAGTGAACACCTCCTTAAGTTTTGTACCCCAGGGGCCTCACTTGCTTCCATAGTTCCAGCCTTGCTTGAGATGCACTGTAATAAAATAGCTATATACTATTGTCATTTATTGCAGGTTGTAAACACCTGCCCCAGCAGAGTTTCTAAATCTGAGATCGAAGATTTAATTTTAATTAATTTGTCAAAGGTTGTATTGATAGGCTTTGTAGAACTTCCCTATCTCTTTGTCTTAATCCAGATGAACCCCAAAAGAAGAACAAAGGTGATCCTATGAACAACCTGGAAAATTTTTACCAAGAGATGATAATGAAAAAACGTCTTGAAGAGTTCCAACTTATGAGAGGTGAACCCTTTGCTTCCCACTCACTGGTCTCAGCTACATCAGTGGGAGATAGTGACACAGCTGAGAACCCGCCATTACTCCAGGACAAGGGAGAACAGGCAGCACAGGGTAAAGGTCCCAGTCTTCATGTGGCAAAAGTTATTGATAATTCACCTGAGCAGTGTTGGACTGGGCCTAAGAAGCTGACGCAGCCAATAGAATTTGTCCCAGAAGATGAGATCCAGAGAAATCGTTTGTCAGAGGAAGAGATCCGAAAAATTCCTATGTTTTCTTCATATAATCCAGGGGAGCCAAACAAGGTATAGGCTAAACCAAGACAAAAACATGGGTTGTTTTCATTTTAATTTACCTCTACCTAAAGTAATACTTTTAAATTCACTTTAATTATACTAAAGAATTATGACATAGGTATAGCGATTGTGTTTTTCCTTGTCCTTCACTATTCTTTCTCTGCATACTATATAAGTAGCATATTTCTTGTGATGTTCCTTGTGCATTTCTAAGGTCCTAAAGTACCCATAGAATTTTAAAGAAATCTTGAAAAGACTCTATTCCAAACCTACTGAAAGACCTGAATTGAAGGGAAAGTAACCTCCAATTTCGTAGGCTAGTAATAAATCAGGTAGTATTCATAGGACCTCCATATCTGATAGCCATGGTGCCTTTGGAACTAGTCTTTGGAACATATGACTTAGATGCTGGTAGTTAAGAGCAAAGTGAAAGCACCGGCCCTCTAAATCTTGAGAAATTGGCAAATATCTAAGTAAACTTGTAAATAATCTTTTTTATATTCTTACTACATAGCTATATATTCATAAACAACATATAGTTTTACATATTTCTAAACTATAGATAAAATCATACTCTACATACCCTTCTATAACTTGCTTTTTAAACTCAATATACATAATATTTTGAAATTTATTTCTAATGCTATAAGGAGCTATGTATTCCATTGTAGAAATATAGTATAATTCATTTGTCCATTTTCCTGAAGATATTTTCTTTTCAATTCTGCAACAAACATTATTGTATAATTAGTAGGTCACAATTGGCAATTTTTTAAGGAAATGAAACAGAATAGAATAGAAAATATCAATATTATAGAGTAAGAGTAGTTACTGTTTATTGAAGGTTTTGTTTTACATATGTATGTATACACACATGAGAGAAGGGGGGATAGACATGTGTGGGACAAGAATGCATGTCTTCCTATAGATCTTAGTCCAAAACATTGGAAAAAATATTGCTTTGTTGCAGTGATTATCAAAGGTTAGTGTGTACCAAAATCACCTTGCAGGCTTGTTAAAATGAAGATTGCTGGGCTCTGTCCCCAGAATTTTTTATTCAGTAGATCTGAAGTAGGGTCTGAGAATTTGCATGTCCAACAAGTTCCCAGGAGATGCTATTGCTGCTGAGAGACATTTTAAGAATCAGTATCATAGATTATATACCTAGGAGTAGAATTACTGTGCTATATAGGATATGTATATCTTCAACTCCGTGAGCAGGATTTCAGAGATCTCTTCCACATTCTTGCCAAGACTTTGTAGTATTAGACTTTATTTTTGCCAGTCTAATATAGTATTTGAAAGGTATCTCATTGTTTTAATTTGCATGTTCATGATTTCCAGTGAAATTATGTATGTATTCATGCATTTGTTAGCCTTTCAGGAACATTCTGTGAGTTGCCTGTTCCTTTTTATCCATTATTTGGTTGTTTAGTTTTTCATATTATTATTTATAGAGATTATTTTAAAATTCTGAATACAAACTATTTTTTTTGTTTAGAAAATATATTATTTCAGTGAGTGGCTTATCATTTTAACATTGCTTCTGATGTCTTACGTTAAGCAGAAGTCTTTCATTTTAATGTAATCATATTATCGGTATTTTACTTGATGGTTTCATTTTTGGAGTCACTTTAAGGAAATCCCTTCCTATAGATCAATAAGAAAAAATATAGACAACCCAATAAAAATGGTCAGAAGATATGAATAGGCAATTCACTGAGGAGAGAAGAGGAATGGCCAATTAACTTACAAAGTCTCATTAGTAATCAAAGAAATGCAAAATAAAACTATAATGAGATAACATTTAACACTCAGGATGTTGGCATAAAGACATGACAGTGCCAAGTGCTGGTGAACATATGGAGCACTAAAAACGCTAATATGCTTCTGGCTGAATATAAATGAGTACAACCACTTTCAAGAACATTGGGGCAGTATCTGGTAAAATGGGAGATGCTCATACAGTATAAATCAGCAGTCCCACTCCTAGGTATCTGTCCTAGAAGAATTCTTACATATACACATTAGGAGATGTTATAAGGATGCTCGTTATAACATTATTTGTAGACAGCATACATGTTCATCAGCAGGAGAATGGATAAAGCGTGGAATAGTCATAAAATAGCATACTGTACAGTAGAGAAAATGAATAAAATATAACTACAGGTATCAATGTGGATGCAGTTCACAAACATAATGTGAATGAAAAAAGCCAGTTTCAGACTTCTGGTTTCAGCTTTAACATACAAAGTCCTTGGAAGTTGTCATTCCTGTCTTACAAGAAAAACAGTGGAACAAACGAAAAATCAATGACTTTTTCTTTGGCCCATCAGAGCATTGAATTCACAGGGCAAGCTGCAACCCTAAAATTTGGAGAGACAGGCAATTAAAGAGAACCACAGCCCAGATCTACTTATTAGGAGCGGAAAGCCACAGGAGCCATAAACTGGTAGGAATACTTAAGTGGTAACTTTGACAAATTGCTTAAGTCAGAGTGTAGATTAGTGTTTGAACATAACAGTTTCTCAATTTGAAGAGCCAAAAAAAAAGTCTGTTCCTGGCTAGTAATAAATCAGATAGTATTCATAAAAGCACCATATATGGTAGCCATGGTGCCTCTGAAATTAGTCAATAAATACCTCCAGGAACCCCACTAGGTTCTCAAGTTGAAGAGCCAAGAAAAAAAATCTGTTCCTGGCATGGGGAGCAGAAAACTAATCATTTTGAAATACACCCAGAGCTTCTACAGAACACAGGACTATCCAACATGTGAAACAATTTTACTAAAGCCTTCTCCCCTATGGGATAAGGGAAATCATCTTACTTTAGGCCCCTCTGGTCTTCCTGTCCCATCTGAGAGAGAGAAAAAAAAAGAAAACTGTGAAACACTTCTGAAGATTACAGTCTAGGGACCCAGGCACACTGACAGACTGAGGCTTAATTATAGGATTTCAGAATGTTTCCCTTACCCTATACCTTACCACTACATCAGCAGGGCTTTAGGATAATAACTGTGGTACAGCTGAAAAACCTGCAAGGCTCATACTCTAAAATGTTTTCAGGGAAACCCAGAGAAAACATGGGAAACAAAAACAAGGACATTACAAGAAATTGAAACCTGTGACACCTACAGCTAGAGTAAACATTAAACACAGCCCAACGCCTGGTAAGATTAACAAAAAAAATCACGCTAACAGCCTGTTTACCTCAGATCCTATTATGTTATACATCATGTTTGACTTTCAACATAGAAGAAATTGTAAGGCATGGTAAAAGAAAAAACAGTTTCAAGAGACAAAACAAGCATCAGAACCAAAGTCAGATATGGCTCAAGTTTTGGAATGATTACATTTATAGAATGTAACATAATTAAATGCTAAAGAGTCTATTAGAAACAGTACACAATATGCAAAAACAGGTCAAGTAAGCAGAAATAGAAACTCAAAGAAATAACTAAAAGGAGATGGTAGAAATAAAAAGCACTATAATAGGAATAACACTTTGATAGGCTCATTAGTATACTTGGTATGGCCAAGGAAAGAATCAGTAAGCTTGAAGACATGTCAGTAAAACAACCCAGACTAAAATGCAAAGAAAAAAAGACTTAAAAAATGGAACTATGGGACAATTTTAAAAGGTGTAACATGCACATTATTGGAATACCAGAAGCATAAGAGAAAAGGGAACAGAAGAAATTTTTGAAGTAATGATGGCTGAGAATTTTTCAAAATTACCAGACCACTGATACAGGATTTGAGCAGAGAACACCAAGCAGGATAACTACCAAAACAAAAAAACAGCTAAGCATATCATGTGCAAATACAGAAGACAGAGAAAATCTTGAAAACTGCCCGAAGAAAACCACTTTGTCTATAGAGAAACAAAGATAACAATCGCATTGGATTTCTCATCAGAAACCATGCAAACAAGAAGACAGTGGTGTCAAATATTTAATATTTAAAGTATTGGGTGGGGGGAACCCCACCTACCTAGAGTTCTGTATCCAGAAAAAATATCCTTCAAAAGTGAAGGAAAAATAAAGATTTTATCAAACAAAAAATAGGGAATTTGTTGCCAGTAAACCTGCCTTGCAAGAAAAAAAAAAAATTAAGTTCTTCAGAGAGAAGGAAAATAATATAGGTTAGAAAATCAGATCCCTATAAAGAAAGGAAAAGCATAAAAATGGAATATCTGAAGGTAAAAATTTTTATTTTTTTTTAAGTGATCTAAAAGATAACTGTTCAAAATAATAGCATTGTGTTAGGTAATTATAGCATGTAGATAAGTGAAATGAATGGCAGGAATATTATAAGGTATAGGAGGGAGAAATTAGTATTTAGTATACTATTATAAGATATCTGCACTACCTGTGAACTGGTATAGTGTTGAGAGTGGACTTAGATTAGTTATAAATGTATATTGCAAACTCTAGGGCAACCACTAAAAATTATAAATAGAAGTCTAATTGATATGCTACTAGAGGGGTAAAAATGGAATCATATAAAATGATACTCATTCTCTACAATCTTTCCCAGAAAATAGAAGCAAAGGGAACATTTTCTGACTTGTTTTATGAGGGCCGGCATTAGCTTAATACCAAAACCAGATGAAGATATTACAATTTTAAAAAAATAATAATTACAGACCAGTCTCTCTCATGAGCATAGATGTAAAATCATAATTAGGAAAGTCAGAATAGTTGATTGAGATACTTTTATTTAAAAATCAAAATATTAGGAAATGAAATCCAACAAAATATCAAAAGAATTCTGTATTATGAACAAGTGGGATTTATTCCAGTTATCCAAGGCTGGTTCAACAGTTTGAAACTCAGTTAATATAATACACCACATCAACAGACTAAAGAAAAATAATTATGTCATTATTTCAATTGCTGTAGAAAAAGTACTTGACAAAATTCAACACCCATTAATGAAAAAAATCTCTCAGCAAACTAGGAATAGAGAGGAACATCCTCAACTTGGAAAAGAATATCTACAAACCCT